GCCCAGTTCTGAACTTCCCAGTACAAAAGAGAGGGGGACATGCTGGAGAGAGCCCAGTGAAGGGCCATGAAGATGTGACTGGAGCACCTGACATATGAGGAAAGGTTTAGAGCTGGGACTGTTCAGCCTAGAGAAGGCTCAAGAAGGATCTTATCAATATACACAAATACCCAAAGAGAGGGTGCAAAGAGGAGGGAGCTGGGCTCTTCTCAGTGGTGCCCAGTGACAGGACCAGAGCCAATGGACACAAACTGAAACACAACAGGTTCTCTCTGAACATCAGGAAACACTTTTTCACTATGAGGGTGACTAAGAACTGTTGCCCAGAGAGGTGGTAGAGTCTCCATCCTTGGAGATATTCAAAAGCCATTTGGTCATGGTCCTGGGCAACCATCTGTAGGTGGCCCTGCCTGAGTAGGGGAGCTGGACCAGATGACTTCCAGAGGTCTCTTCCAACTTCAACCATTCTGTAATCTCAGAGGCTATTGCTTGACTTTAAAAATGTAAATGTGTGGTTTAAAATGAACTACCAGATTAGGAGTGATATCTTCCTGTTGTCTGGCAGTGGCAGAAGCTGGAGGCAGTAGCATGTTCAGCTGAAACTATTCTAAGCACACCATCTTTAGTTCAAAGCCACCTAGTCCAGTAAGACAAAGAACAGCTCCGTGAAATCCACTGTCTCAGCTGCTGAATCGATATACAGCCTGGATCTTCAAAAAAGTTTTTGAGGGGCTACATAGAGAACAAGTTAATAATATCTATCCAGAAGGAGATTTTGGGAGGCTAAGATACACATGGTTTCTCAGTTACTTTTTAAAAGGAATAGTAAACAATTTATCCTAAGTTTCTCCTGCTCTTAACTTCTCTCATCTGCTACATCAGCCCAGGAAGCAGGAGAGAACACTCCTCCACGCTTCTTCTCCCGTACAAGACAGCGTGCTCTGGAGGAGCAGCAGAAGTGGTGCTGTTTGCACTGTATGCACATACAAGGCAGGTGTAAGAGGGTTCTCAGAAAGCACCATCCACCCTTGCCTGCCTCACTTTACCTCTCTTTCCTCAGCCCTTCCCAGCTCAATTCCCCTTTCACAGCTGAGATGCAGTGGGTGGTAGGATGCTCTCTCATTATGCTTCTCAACCTTCCCTGCTCCTACCATGACAGGCCTCACTCTGAGTGTCTGTAGAGATGAAATGGAAGAGGCTGGGGAAGCAGAAGCCAGGTAACAAGCACCTGGGCAGACTAACTGCCTTGTATAACAACTGGGTCTATGACACCGAGACTGGCATGAAGCCTCCAGATTCCTGAGCACAGAACTCAGGGAAGATCTAACTCCTCCTTTAATCTAATATGTTGGCATCTGACTCCAGCTGTGGAGTGTAAAGCAGAAGCCCAGCAAACTACTGTAGGATCACCTATGCCTGAGTCTCCCTCCCAGCTCCTCTTCTCCCTCCTCTTACTATGCTCATTCCAAAATAACTGAAGTGAGACCATCTAGATTAAGAACTGGTAGAACAGAAAGGTCTCCTTCACTAAACTTCCTTCCCTCCCTCCTACTGTACTGTACCTCACTCCATAGACTAGATATAATAAACAGAATAAGCACTGTGTAAATAAAGCACCCCTTACTTTACCCAACTCTTCTCTGACTGTGCTTTGTCTAACAGGGTTGCTCGGATTTTCTTACATAATCTTTAGGGAGCTTTTTGAAAAGACAAAGACACAGATGCAAAGGAATCCAGCAGGGTTGTGGGTTTTTGTTTTGTTTTGTTTTGTTGTCTGGCACTGGTTTGGCTTGCAAATTCCTCACTGAAGAGGCTCAGCAATGTAGCTTCAGGGAAACAGAAATCATACGCTGTAATACTATCAGCAAATTACCTTTGTCCTGGGGCTGATTTACCTTCTGTAACTCTGGCTAGAGCCAAAAATACACACTTACAAGCTTTCTTCTGTATCTCTCTGCACCTTACAACACTGCATTATTACATTTAGCCATTCCACATGATAACTTTTTACTGAGGAGTCTCTTCTGATATTCATAGGCAATCACCTTTTGTCACATCATCAATTTTAGACACACTTCCAATTTAAACTAAGCCTAGAAACTACAACACCCTTCTCCTGAGGCAGTCAATTCAGCAAATAGTACAGATACATAAACCGTATGTACAGTGTGTGTGTGTATACGCACGCACATACAATTTATTATAATTTTTTTAATACTAAATTCTGTGGGCTTTCACTACATAATACCATATCTGGTTTTCAACCAGAGGCGCTCACAGTCTAAACAGACAGACAGACAAAACTCAAGAACTTAAACAAAGAGTCTATCTTATCCTGTGTTTTTACAAAACATTTAACCTTTTACTTAGACAGAGTAGTGCCCTGGCCTCACAAATTAAGTGTTCAGGAGGGAATGGAGAAAGGATGATTGCATTCTGCAAAAGGATTGAGAGGGAATTCCAAGCATGAAAGTAAAAATCAAAAGAAAATGGAAAAATGAGACAAAGGAGAAAGCCAGAATTCATTCATGATATGTTTCAGTGAACTTTTTCTGATCTCCTGCAATGTACCTTAACTGCAATAAGGTTTACTTGCTAAAATAGATAGTCCAAGTCTCTAATTTATGAACTTTCACAACTAAAATTTGCAAACTACAGGACCTAAAATAAAATATTAATTAATATGCTTAAATTGCAAATGAACTCACTGAAACTAGTGCACACATATTACATATGTAGATCTCAAACATGATAATTTATTTTAAATTTACCATTTCGTTGTCACTGACTCAAACTGACCTAAGTGCTACCTAGATACTTGCCTCTGGCAACATGCACACATAAATCTGCTTAAGCACTGGCAGGATTGTTAGCTGAGGCCTCAGAAACCCAAAACCTGGATCCTCAAAGCATGTCTTTCCATATTTATCTCATCAAGCAGCTCAATCTCCCTGGCAGACTCTGAGGACAGCCTCTTTTAAGAGGTAAGTTGTTGAAATACTCATGCCAGGATATGATAGACCAAGGCAAACCACTAATGCTCATGGCAAGTCTAGCCTGACAATGAGGTAGTCTCTTTTAAAATACATTTGGCACTAACGCACCAAAAATTTCCCATCATCCAACTACATGCCCTGAATCATGATAACTAGGAGACTGAGATGACCCTGCATACTACATGACACTTAGGCTGGTATAAAATCAAACAAATGTGCTGGCTCCTTAATCAGCAGTTTATGTCAGTCTAGGACTTACACAGGCTGATCTGGCACACATTTTTGTTCTTTTAAGAGCTTTCTGTAGTTTTATTTAAGTCACTTAACCTCCTTCCATCTATAAAAAGAGAATGATGGTATTAATGTAACATTACAGAAGCACTGTCAGTTCTGAAAATTTTTAAATATATATTCAGATTAGAGAGTTTATTCTGCTTTATTCAGGCAGAACTTTTTTTAAACAACAAAAAATGTATCTAAAGATGGGAAGACCTGGTGCAAAAATGTAATTGCCCAATACAGTTATTTAATAAATAGAAACTATGAGTTAAGAACTATTCAAATACTGGGTTTACTACACATGTACTCATATTATACAGCACAAGATCAACTAGTTGAAGTCACCAACATTAACATACAGTTTTAAAAGTTAGAAGCTCATTAAAAACATCTAACAGAAACGTTGAGCAAACTCTCCAAGAATAATTTTATTTATCTATCTCCTTCTAGTGGCAGAACATGAAATCAAATACTCAAAAACTTATTTCTGTTATTTTCTAAAACTCTTAAATACAGTTGCCCACATTAAGCAAATGATACAAGCTATTATTTTAAAATATCTGGTAATTAACACTTGTAATAATATACCAAACATCTGTTCCACAGCTATCATCTTCTGCAGTCAAAATTCAAGCCTTTGCAAGTTGCCTCACTAAAAGATAACATGCCTCAGCATCCTTTTCCGTATTTAGAACTAATCCAAATATATAGGCTGTTCTTACCACTGCAGTGTGAAATATTCTAAAACAAACTCTAAGAAAAGAATAATTAAAAACATGAAGCTTAACAGAAAATTACATGATGCCTAATGCTGGCGTCCCAATGAAAAATCCTGCTAAAGTTACTTGATATGTTTAAGATCAGTGATTTTTCTACGTATCTGGACATTATTAAATGCTAAAATGGAGGCTAAGGCTGGAAGAAAAGCTACAATGAACTCCCCCGGGATCAGTTTTTTATTTAACATTTTAACTAATGACACTGACACAATGAGTAGGAAGACACTTTTGGCACAAAATCAGAAACCAAGCATACAAAAGGAAAACAAGGGAGAATTAAATTACAAAAAACAGTATGAGACTGAGGATTATGGAGTGCAACATCCTGTAGTTACAAAGAAATAAATTAACAGGTTATCACGGAAATCCTTAACAGATGGAAATCAGACAGGAGTGCATTCGAACCTGGTAACATAACCAGAAAACATCAGGCATGATGGAAACATCAAGCCATGAAAAAAGCAAATACAACTTTAAAACGCACAAAGCAAACCACTTCCCTTTCTTCCACCGAAAAAGGGTCTGGCAAGGTTTAATCCGCACCGGCGCATATAAGGCTAACACACAGGAAGGGAGACGAGTGGCACAGGTGGGCTACTAGAATTGAGAGGGAAACGAGGGGTCTGTCTGGCAGGGATGATGCGCCTGGTTCAACCTGGAAAACGAGGACTGAGAAGGTGGTGTGACTCTAGCAAAGTGCTGTGGAAAATCTCACGGGTGGCGGAAAGCGCGGCAGGAGGCCAGCGGGGTACGGCACGGCTCGCAGCGGGCGGGCAGGGGGAGGACACGAAGCCCGCTGAGCAGAGCTGCTCCGGCCCTGGAAGCCGCTTCCTGACGCAGCCGCCCCGCCCGGGGCTGGGGCGCTCTCCGCCCCCTGGGCTGCCAT